TGTTTATTAAAGTAATTCAATTTTAAAATGATTTATTAAAGTAGTTCACATAATTTATAAACCAGTTCATTTTATTAAAATGGTGTGGTGCAGTTCGGTGCGGTTTTTTTAAAAAACCAAACCATGCACACCCTTATCCCCAAGGCTAACTCATTAAGAGAATCCTAAAGTTCTCATTGTTGGATAATTTGTGGACTGCCATAAACAATCGTTAACAACCATGACGACCTTTTTCTCCATGATACTCATATATGAACATATAAAGGAAAATGTTGTAAGATGAAAATATTCTAGAATTTCAAGTTGCACATGCACCAAATTCTCCTAGATTGACCTCTAGCATCTTGCATGAAATGACCATCAAAACTGCATCTCAATATTGTACAACCTGCCTATCTACCACTCAAATAGGTCTCTACTATAAAACACAAAAGATGATGCGTACTCATGTGAGATATCTTTTAACAACCCACAAAAGCCCTTGACATGGATTTCCCAACTGTTAAGTCAGACGAAGACGAAAACAATTCCTAGCAAAGTTTTGAATGAGACAAATATAATACATATTGTTATTACTAACAAGTGTGTTAGTGTTTCAGATATAAGTACAAGTAAACTGAAGAATAAAGAATGTATATCCATACCAGAATCAAGAGATATGAGCTAAGCCTTGGATAAAGGCTGAGCAAACGAAGGGGATACGTCAGACGAAGACACACAAAAAAAAAATAGAATGAACAACCAAAGTGAAGGGATAAAGCTAACAAAATGTTAGAAGAGGAGATCAAGCAATCAAACAAAATCAAGCTCAGCACAAGAAGAAAAATAATGAAGCCTCAAATGATACAAAACCATGGACGATGGGAAAAACCAAGGTTAAAGCACCCTAGACAGAGTTAAAGTACCTACAACAGCCAACTAGACGGAGACTCAAATACACAGACAAAGATCAAGAAATCTATATTACGTCTAAAGACACAACGAGACGAACTACCTAACATCCACACTTTCGAAAGAATACATAAAGACATCAAAATAGAAGAAAGAAGATAAGACAAATGGACGAACGCTTATCCACAAATCAAAATAGCCTGTGTTAGAACAAGTACACCTACCAGTCAGGAAAAGACAACACCTCTGCAGCAATAGTACCAAGAAAGTACAAAAGATATCAAGAAGTGTAGATTCAGCAAGCAAACATTAAATGCTAAGTCAGAAGCATTAAATATCACAATTTATGAAGATTGTACAAACTAGATGAAAGAATCAGATGATGAAGCAATCAAGCATAAGAACAAAGTCTACTATTACCAAAGTGAGACACTGAAGTATCAGACGAAGAAATAGTCAAGGCGAGACACGAACCAGTGAAGTCGAGACAGATGAAGCAAATGACATTGAAAATCAAGTGTCAAGAGAAGAATAGTTGGAATACAAATATGCGCCAGATGATCATAAAATACTCAGACAAAGATGTGTCTAGTACAACTATCCTAAAGTGCAAATCAGACGAGGCATATGTCTAAGGTCAAAAGAAAGTCAATTATGCATCAGACGAAGGACAACAATGACTGAGAGACACCCTAGATGGAAACAATGGTTGACTATTCACGTTGTTAATCAGACCAAAGGAAAGTCAAAGCACTAAACTCGGACGCTGAAGCAAAAGTCAAGATTGAAATGTACAAGACCAACAGACGAAGATAAAGACTCCCATGCAAGAAAATAAAGAATTACGTCTCAAGAAACAAGCCAAGATATCGTCTACGAACACACCAAAGCTTTCAACGTAAAACACGTATGTAGGGACAAAGGAGAAGAGAAGCACGCAAAAGTAGAGCATGCATGTGTCAGAAAAAGTACATGACTTTTTCAGAAAAGGACAACGGCTATATCGCTGCACGGCCAGAAAAATACAAACAATTTCTGGGTCTCAGATAAAGTCAAATACTACAGCAACAAGACAGAGAAGAATACACACAATGTCTAAGAATATGAAGCAACATTTAATGCAAGGCCAAATGCATTAAATGAAAGGATCAAACTAGTCATGAACGACTATATTAGCTTCAACGGACATATGCAATAGGCAAATTTTACAAGCCTATAAATATGCAACAACATCAAACTAAAAGAGAAGAGGCAAAAAGCAACGAAAAAATGATTATATGCCTTGCCCTAGGCTCGTGGATTAAAAGAAAAAGAGTGATATCAAGCCCATGAGACAAAGACCAGAGATGAGCCTACATAGTCATATGTACAATGTAATATTGTAATTTTATCTCTGTAGACTAAGGTGTTTGAAATGTCAATGATGGACTAAACCTTAGTGAGTGTTGTAAACCTTTGTATCCTCTCCATGAGAGTAACCCAAACACTCAAATACAAGTCTCTGTTAAACTAAGGTAGCAAAACTTAGTGAGTGTAAGAAATTCCCAATCCTCTCTGTGAGAGTAACCCAAAACACTCGAACCTGACTATACAATTGTCAACATTGCAAAGCCTGAAGAGGCTAGGAAAAGAATACTTGTAAAGCCCGGAGGGGCTTGTCAAAGAATACTCACTGCTAGCCAGAAGTGGCTGAGAAGAAAATACTAGTGTTGGTGAGTGAAGCCGACGGGCCAGAAGTGGTCGAGAATACTTGGAGAACCAGAAGTGGTTCAAGAATACTAGCGTTGGTGAGTGAAGCTGACGGGCCAGGAGTGGTCGAAAATACTTAGGGCTAGGAGTGGTTGAGAATACTCAAGATCAGGAGTGGTCGAGAATACTCAAGTCTAGGAGTGGACGATAATACTAAATGTACTTCATTTTATATCTAGTGGAACCCTTCAAGTTGAAGGAGACTGGACGTAGCTCAGTTGAGTGAACCAGTATAAAATGATTGCATTCCTTTACTTATTTAGACGCAAATCTTCCTTATTGATGAAACTTTTGTGAAAGACTTCGTCCAATATTTATATATCTTTAAAACAACTTTTAGACGAAGACGCTAACTTTGCTTGACAGACTTATTACACTGAAAGTTTCATCTACTACTTATCCTTAAACGAAACCATTTTGAAAGTGAAAATGTAAGAACTTCAATTAATATCTTTACAAAACATTTTTCCTAGTGGATGATAAATCCTTTAGACGCATTGATAGTAAGTTAAGCAAGCTCTACACAATCGTCTAATATTCAAAAGTGCAGTGGACGGAGAGTACTACTCTTGCGAAAAAGTTTTAAAAATACCTATGTTCATACACACACATATTCAACCCCCTTCTATGTGTTTTTCCGCTAACCTCACCAACAATTCCATATTTCAATATTCATTGTAAAACCTTTGTCAAAGTTGTTTATATAAGGCCATCCCTAGTCTCTATAATAGAGTCTTGTCCACAAATGTTCATCTCCTCCTCATCAGATTGGGATAGAGTTGTGACCTACACCCTTTTATAACTCTAAGGTTGACCCTGAATCATGGATCCTCCATCCTCTCATAACTGGCATATCAACCAGATCATACCATAGTTTGCCTCCAAGCTCTTTTTTCCATCTGACACATGTGTCGCAACATATCTTCATTCACTTTCTTCTATTTTTGTTGAGTGACAAACTCTCGTACATGTAGCTCTTGATCTTCAACTTTAGATTATGCCCTATGATTAGCATGCTTGTTCATAGGGTTATAGTGCAGTTTTGTCATCGACATGGATTCTCAGTATAGTGATTTGGAGGGTCATCCTCCTTTGTCAAAACACTCTTTTCACCCAATAAAAACCCTATAAGAAGTGTTGGCTAAGGTTGGACTAAGCTCCTCGGCTAGATTGTCCAAGGACCTAAGGCTACAAGGAGGAAATCTCAAGGTGAACTTTGGAGAAGTTCCTCACAAGAATGACTTTGGCTAGGAGAGAATTTAGAAGTATAAACTCTCATATAATGCTCAAAGTGAGGCCAAGTATACAGATGGAAGAAATATATAGGCCAAGATAGAGTATCAAGGAAGCTAAACTAACCTAGGGTTTAAACATAACCATGATATGGTTAGTTTAAACTCTAGGCACCAAATTTGAATTTGAAGATTCAAATTTGGACACTTAGCCTATATTCCCAAATCTCCCCGTGTGTTATCATGTGAGATTTACATTTTAATGTGATTTGATTCACATTTGAGGTGATTTTGGACATGCCATGTGTACCTCCCCACATGACCAGTCACATGGTGTCAAATTTTCCCTAAATGTGAATCTAAGTCACATAAAATGTAAATTCACATGCATATGCCATTCTCATCATTTATGTGGCTAAAATACAAGGCCTAAAATAAACCTTAAACTACTTGGCCAAAATACAAGACCCACAAAATAAATACAAGCCTATATAGGCCCAAAACTCTAATCTACATGGACTTCAATGTACAACCTAACTAAAAATTACCATGGGCTTTATTTCCCCTATATTAGCCCACTCCTCTTCAAGTCTCCTAACCATTGCCCTAATAATTGGATCCTTGATTCACGAGTCTCCATCATCTCCTCTCTCGAAGAGGATTTGATCTCAAATTCATAGACTCTTCCTTCTCATGAAAATGTTTAACGCCATTTCTCCAATTGATATCTGTCTTGTTTTCAAAATTTTAAATTCTATAATAAGTGTTTTAAAATATTTTTTTAATGTAACATTTCCAAATACAATTTTAAATGCCCGTCTTGTTTCCAAAATTTTAATTTCTATAATAAATGTTTTAAAATATTTTTTTTATATAACATTTCAAAACACAAATTTAACATTATGCAATTATTATTCGAAACACATTTAATATTTTAAAATAAATATATTTTTAAAACTCTCAAAATAGATATTCCAGAACACATTCAACATCATGATTTCAGAGTAATCGGATGTTCCAAAGTTTTTTTTTTAAAAAAGCAATGATAATTTCAAAACTAAAAAAACAGAAGGAGGTGCATGAAATAATTTGATGGTTGCAGGAAGAAAATAGTGAAGGGGAAGTGATCCAGTGAGGCCCAATAGCGGGAAAGAATAAATGTGAGGCGCTGAAGGGTGGGTGGCGCGGTGAAGATGGGAACGAAGGAGGAAGTGGTCGAAATAGAGACGCTCGAGAAGAGTCTGTTGCAGGAGAATGAGCCAGACCACGACGAAGCCGTCCTCTATGCGGCGTCGTTTCGAGAGATGGAAAACAATTTCGTCAAGTACCAAACGGTGCAGTGGCTGCTTTACTCGCTCTTGCTTCTTTTGGCATGGGGCATTGGCTTACTCATGTTGATTTACGTTCCTCTCAGAAGGTTCATTCTTCGCAAGGATATTCGTTCCAGAACCCTCTATCTCACTCCTAACGCTATTGTTTACAAGGCAATTCATCTTCCATTTTTTTTAATTTCTTTTTTGGGGAATTCATTTCACAAATTATTACCCTTTTTTTGTTGTTGTTGTTGTTGTTGTTGTGTAGCTCAGGTTACGAGGCCCGTGCCCTTTCCGTGTTTTGGAGTGCTCAAGAAAGAGAAGCACGTTTTGTTGCACTCTGTGGCCGATGTTGTCGTTGAACAAGGTTGGGTTTTTGTAATTTTCTTGTGTGTTCTTCTGCTTTGGGTTCGCAAATGGGATAGTGTTGGATTTCATTAACGGTTAGGGTTCATTTGATTTGTTTAAATTCGTGCTAGTAGACAGGATAAAGCAATTATTTTGTTGTTCATTTGTACAAACATCATAAAACATGAGAAACAATTGTGTTTTTGGATGTTTCATTTTATGTTTTTAAGCCTCCCAGGGTCTAGCAATTGTTCTATTGGTTTCGATTTTTGGTACCTGATTGATTATGTGTATTTTCGTAGGATACTTGCAATCACTTTTTGGTGTCTATTCTCTTAGAATTGAAAACGTTGGAGTGAGAAGGCCACCCAGTGATGATGTTAAGATCCAGGGTGTTGCAAATCCAAATGCTTTCAGAAAGGTTTCCTTCTTTTTTACACATGCAAAAACAAAAGCTGTCATAGGAAATTTCATTTCACTGTTTTCTTGTTCTGAATCAAGTATGGGTTATTGTGGAACTTCTCTTTTGCTTTGCTTCCATTTTTTACAGGCTGTTATGATGCGTCTATCGAACATGAGAAATGAGATTTTTTCAAGACAGGCTTCTACACTAGAAGATGTTCCACATAATCTGATGGTGAGTCATTCACCATGTAGTGCTATATGGGTTGGGAATAAATCTTTTTACATTTTCATCTTCTTTGTATGTCTTTTTGCTTCAGGGTGAGTGGGTGACCAATAATTTGACATTTACCTGATAAACTTTTGTATTGCTTAGAGCTCTCTTTGTTCATGTTGCTTGATAATTGTCTCTATCTCTCTTACCAGTCATTGTTTTCTGTAACTTTTAGATGTCTCCATCAAAGTCATTGAAACACGATTCTACTCCTTCTGGGGAGCAGCTACTAATGCAGAAACTAGACGAAGTTGGAAGCTCTGTCAAGGTAGGAAGTAAACATCAGATATATGGGATTGTTTAAATAAACTTCTTCATAGATATAATAAGAAAAAATAAAATAAACTTTTCTGAGCTAAAATTAACTTATGAATAAACTTATTTTTAATTTATGCAAAAGCTAGTTTTTACTAAAAGAAAAACTTATTTCATTTTTTTTTTCTCTTAGAAGTGTTTATGAAAATGTTTATTTGAACGTGCTCATAGTATTGTTATTTAACAAGAAAGGAGAAAAGAAAAAAGATTTAGATGTACAATTTTGGCGTTGGTTTTATTCTTTTGGCTAATTACTACGGTATGTTGTTTACTGCAGAGACTACAATCGTTATTTGAGGAGCAACAATCTCAAACAACAGAATCCATAGATTGAGGTTGGTGAATTTGATGCAAAAGTAAAATTCCTATAACCTGTTTTTCTACTGTTCTTCATGTTGCCTTTTCTCTTTATTAAACATTGCTATCTGCGTTTCTCATAAATACTTTATTGGATTATTCAGTGCAGTTGTGCATTAGCTTATGCATTATATGCCAACACAAATGAATTAGTTTGTTTACACCATCATTACATAATGTATTTGCTCTTGCATTTATGTTCTAGGTATTAAAGAGACTCATGTAGCTAGAGGAAACTTGGTACCTAGATTTAAATCAAAACCAATTTTCAAGCAAAAGAGCGTTGGAATTTTTTTCCAGAGACGTCGGAGGTTTGGATGCATGATGCAGGGAGTATGGTAAATAACAATCAATAATTCTTCCAGGGAAGTTCAGATTACAGCCCCTAGAAGTGCATGTTGACACCACCTGCAATATTGTGAGCTATTCACTGTGTTAGTTTGTATCCTGTAGAGCTTAAGCGCGCTTTGTTTTTCTGATTTTATCGGAAAAATTGTACATCTTGATCGATATGTAGCTTGAACATGACATGAATACATTTCAAACTATGTGATGTATAAGTATTGTTGATTATTTATGTTGTTAACTTGTTATCCTTTCACCTCAAAAAAAAAAAAAAAAAACTTGTTATCCTTTTTTTTCTGTGTGTTTTTACCATGTAATACAGGGGGTGAGAAGCTCTTTGGTGTTAGTACAAGTAATATCATTACTCGCCTAAATGAAAGATCTTGAAGTTGTGGATATTAAAATGAACTTATATTTTATATTAGAATATTTTTTTGGAAAATTTCTTTTATATGAGAATTTTTTGAAATTTTTAAATTTTTTTTATATAATTTGTTTTTTATTTATTTAATTATGAATTAAATTTTAATATTTTTAAAATAAATTATCAATAAATAAAAAATATTATATTACAGTATAAATTGTTTCATAAATTTAAAATATAAATTATATATTGTTGTAAAAATATAATTTATAAATATTTATTTGTGTAAATTTTAAATATGATTTATGTATTTAAACATTATTTATTATAAATTTTAATTAAATATAAAATATTTATCGTAGATGCTAAAATATCGATTAATTTAATAAACAAATAGTAAATTACACTAATCCTCTAGATTAGTGAAAATTATTCTAGATTTTGGTGCAATATGGCGTGCACCTAATTGGTTTCAAGTTCGGGAATATAACTTGTCCTATACTCGTCTCGCATTTCCTTTCATAATTTGGTCCTATACATAAAGTTAGGATTTTTTTTATAATTTAATTTTTATAATTATTAAAATAATTATTTAAATAGTTAAACAATTTAAATTATAAATGAAAGGGATTGAAGTTAGTTAGTTAGTTCAACAATAAATATATATGAATTGTTATAAACTCAACAAGTTTGATTCTCATAAATAAAAGAAAATTAAATTATAATAATATGTGAATAGCAAACTTAAAATTATATATTTAAATAACAATATAGTTTGATTTTCAAAAAAATTATTCTTGATTTCTTGTTATTTATTAATTTTTATATATTTTTTGAATAAAAAATAATTAATAACTTAATATATAATTTATTTAAAAATGTATAAGTAAATTAATTTTAAAACAAGTGTGTTAGGTT